TCATACAGTTTTAAGGTGCAAAGAGCTCATCTTACTAAACTATTTAAAATGCCAAATGATTGTACATGTCTTGTATCATCAGTGTGTATTGTTGTTGACGCAGTCGGTTAAAAACATGGAAACTATCCGCAATGTTGTTAAGTTCTCGTTATTAGGCATCGAATGAATTTGACGTTGAATGGTTCGTCCTTAAAATGTTTAATGAGGTTAGTCGTTCCCAACGTGCCCGTACCACATGATTCTACCGGAAAACGTGAAACTCGTTCAGTCACTTTCTTTGTATGTTTTATTTCTAACTTTTATAAGCTGAGATATGATCACATTTTATTTAAAAAATGTACACTGGTCGTCACACCGGAGAAAATATAAAAATATGGACAAATCCAATAGAGTAGTGTGTAAAAATAACTGTCTCTGAGGTTTGATTTATTCAAGTAAAGAGTGAAGTAATTCATTTTTAACTCGTTCCTTGTTGGTCAAGATTTGAGCCAGATATGATACAGGAGAGCTTTTACAAATGTTTATTCGAGAGGATAGATACCGATAGGAGAAACGAGTGATCGAGGGGGAGCGGCAACAAGACAAGTCAAGATGCAAAGTAGGGAAGGGGACGTTTAGAGTCTTATTGACAAAGGTCACGCAAGACTTCGCATAACCATTACTAAGTTCTGTAATAAATGACTTAGCAGAAATTAAAGATATATGGTTTATTATCATCAATCCACAACGGACAGTTTTAAAGTTTCGTTTCAATAGACCGTGAAACACTAAAGGATAGCACTAAAGTAAAATAGGGAGGACGCATTGTTTAACAAAGGAGAACAAAACATTTTGGGGAGTGCAGAATTGTCTGAGCTTTCGAAGCTGAAATGAGAGGCACTGAAGTTTTCCCATATAGTTCTGAATGTGTGTCAACCACCGGGGATTCTTATCGATAGTAACACTCAGATATACTTGGCTGAGGTCACCCTAGACAAAAGGTTCGAATTAAGGTTTGCAGATTGTGACGGGAATGTAGAGCGGGCAGAACTAAAAATGCACTCGAACCAATAAGGCCAAACTTGTTTGAAAATGTTGGAATCGGGACAGATTTTCATTGAAGGAGGAAAATTCTGAAAAAGACGAAAAGACCCGACATAAAAAGACATTATCATCATACTTTTGGATATGAACAGAGTGTGAAGTTGAACGATCACTAATGAAAGAAGAGAAAAGATACAGAGATATGACAGCACCTTGAAGCACGCCAGATTTACTGATTAGAGGACTTGAGGTATTCCTGCCTAGCTTTGTGCATTGGATTCTTTCTTCGAAATAATCTGAAAGCAACAAACGTAGCTGTTTCCGGGTGCCAAAAGATTCATTTATGTATCACGGAACATGTTGAATTCTATCAATTGGAATGGCTAAGTTTCCAGGACGATTTTTGATCAGAAATCGACACTAATTCTGTCCAAAAGATCAATGATATCATTAGATAGAACCGCTTCAGGTTTCTGTGACATCTCTTCCACAGCCTCACTAATTATGATCAACTGCGCGAATGTTTGTTTTCAAACAAATTAAAGTAAACCTCATGTTTTTTGCTGTCTCAACCTTCTTGCCTCCTTATTCTATGTTGGTTAACCCGTAATACATACACACGGATATATATATATATCTATATATAAAATGAAACACATACCTACAGGTACGGTCAACGAATTGGAGCTCTGGCTCACGATTCACTGCATCCCCTCACAGATTCAGGCCACGTAGCAGCATTGTCCAATTTGATCAAACGTGTTCGTTGTGGACTCAACAGAGAGTATCAGGTGATGGATTGTACCACCAATCGAGACGAGAGTTTGTCGAGTGGTAAGTATAACTGATTTAGTATCCGGCCCCTTTGTCCCGTTTTGCACAATGACACTTATTTGAATATACCTTTGGTCACTCCTGCAAATTCGATTCACGGGGGGGGGGGGTGAAGGGGGTGCACTGTGTACCCCCATAGGCCAAGGAATTGTATGCGATGTCTTTCACATACTGAACACTTCATCAAAATTGCGTAATCAATGGAAGGAGATCAAATAAGTTTCAAAAAATGTGAAGTCAATGATTATTGTGACCAATTCGATATCCATCTACTATTTAGATGCGCATCGGTTGTGGCAAAGCGATCAGGTCACGTAGTTTAATAGCAGGATTTGACCGTTTGTTTGTGAGAATGAAACTGAAGGAGTAGGTTGATGAATGCAATGTGTGGGATTCAACATGTGTGTTTGTGACCGAAACCCCATTCCAGTTGTGTTTCTGATTCCATTATTTTTTTATCTAGATCTTTTTGTTTTCCTTTTCATTCTTGTCGACTGTATCTCTGCTAGTCCCGTCTCAAAACATAGATGATTATTGAGCCAAGTCCATATTTAGGTAGTCCCATGGTATCAACCACGGTTGTGATCGTGGTTAATTCTCACGAAAGCATGTGAAAGCATATGTCTCGATTTAATACCAACTGACCTTGTTCCCGATGTGTGCCCTGTACGTTGAAATCTATCACAGTTGAATTACTTATGCAATTGGCGAGAAAGTCTGTAACCACCTTGTGAAATCCTTTTCAAAACATTGACAATCGTATTCAGAAACTGACTACTTTATTGTTTTTCAGTAGTTGTTTTGGGTAAAGCCTACCGGTGTTACGCCCATGTAGATTTTTCGCATCAAGCTTATGTCTACCATATATTTTCTTACTCCTCGTGAATAAATGTTTCAATGAAAACTCAAATTTAGTTTGATTGTAGCAAGATCGTCAGGGAACAAATTCATACATAATTGCTTCTGAAGTGTGTTCACATATCTAATAAAAGTTAACGCTCACACATTCACAATTTCCAAAATCCGTGGGAGAGAAACATAGTCGATTTATTATGGTTAGGAATTAATTGGTTACATTCTCGAGAAAGATATGTCAAACCATTATTACCTTTTAAACGGAACAAAATAAAACTCCCATATTAGATAGCTATTTGGTTGAAAAATAACCCTGCAACAAAGGAAAAATAACGTTTTAATTTATGTCTACCAGTGATAATAATCAAATTATTTTGTTTTTAGAATTAGTTTTGTAAAAGCCACACTACAGTATGTCGAAATCGCTCAAATGACAAACGTTTTGATCATCGTTTCTTGATGAAGTTCATAATTTGGTGAAATCATGGCTTTCAAGCTTTTGATTTAAGTTGTGTTTCGTTGGCATTTGTACGGCTAAATGCTTTTTGGAACTAAATGAAATTTATCAATTTGTTATCATCAATGAGATAGTGAGATATAATTGTAAAAGATGATTTAATTTTCCCACGGATTGATTTGAACAGCCAATTGGGCGGTTGTAGTTGAACATAATCACATTGGGCGTCTCGCTTCTACGTAACCAAAATCTGCCCTCAGATCTGCTTGGTTTGTCCTTTGATTCGTCGCAACACGATTTTACGTTGGAAAACATAATTCTCAAATCAATTCCTCCGGTTCGTGATGTTCGAATTTTCATGAATGGAACAGTAACATGGTTATATGTGATCTTGACCTTCTTGCATGAAAAGTTCCATTTTCAACTGTTCCTAGCTCCTTTAACGGTTCGGATTGTTTTGTTCAAACAACAAACCAGTTGCTCAACGAGCCTAGTTTGTGCTCTCGCTTGTCACGGCTAGTGTACTCAAATCTTGATATCACGGTCCCCAGTTCTCACTTACTCGGTGGTGACTGTTGAATCACTGTGGACTCATCCCAACTATATTCAGCTCGGTTTCAGTTTACAATTAGCATGCACTTTCGTGCAATATCAATGTGGTTTTTCTGTGTTTCGTTCCCCATTTTCCCGAAGAATTAGACGGAAAATTGAAATGTTCAAGCAGTATTAATGTTAAAATGAAGAATTCAGATAGACCGGAGTTTCTGTAATGCGAGCACACACTGGGCTTTCGTAGCGCTGAGGAATGGATAGAAATGCGCTATAGGATGCTCCCTCGGCATGTATTCTCGCACCTGGAGATGGTACAAGGCTTGCTGGTGTTGACAAGGTGACCGGGATACGAGGTTACGATAGAACACTGATAGACAAATACTCCGTGGACTGGATGTGAAGATAAATACTCAAAGCAAAGCAAATAAAATGTCATGAACCCCAAAGGAGATACAAGCACAGTAATATCTTATCGTGATATTACTGGCTTGGTTACCAAGCGTTACAGTTGTAAAGAACGGATTGTATGGACGAGTCGCATCATTTATCATGTCCACCTACAACTGTGACGACTGCATGAATAATGTAATTGTGGCAGTGTTGCTGATACACACACATATATATGTATAAGTCGAATTAGCTATGCCAAGAGATCTGTTGTCTCCCAGTTCTTCTTTCTTCTTCTTGGATTGTGCTCAGTTAGCTCAGTTACTACTGATACCATTTTGGTGGCTCTCATCCCGCTGTTTGCAATTGCAAACTTAGGTTGTTGAAAGCTAAAAGGCCTGTTAGGTTATCTAATTTATCAAAGGAACACTTCAGTTCTGCTTATGAAATCCTAGGGGTGATCTTTAGTAGCACCATCCGGAAAATGCACTGATGAAACGAATGAAACGTGCATTCAGTTTTCGAGTTTTTAAATTATCTATGACATATAAAAATGTGTCGATCCAGCCTCAGCAAAGATTTCAAAAAACAGATTCAAAGCATTGCAGATGGTATACCGACGAACGCAATAATGGGTTGTGGTGGAAAATATGAAACCTTCTAAATGGTTTATCTGCAATCTGCTTCATCCCTTAAATCTGTATGCGTTGAATACATTTTTAGTCTTTCCTGATCCAAGTACCACCTGGATCCCTCAGTCATCAATTCCGTGCCCATCACCAGAACACACCACGAAATACCTAGGAGTTACCATAGATAGCAATCTACCGCGGTCCTCACATGTGCTTGCTTGTGTTGGTAGATTGCGTCGCTTATCTTTTCAAATACGCAAGCTACAACAATCTCGAGTGAGGCATGAAACTGTATGTTCATTTGTGTATCAATGCATTTTTCCTATCATACTTCATTGTTCGTCCATTATTTTCCCTGGTCTACTCAGAAAGGACTTCATTATTCTACGTCGCGGTTTAGTAACTACCAGTAGCGTTTCTCTTATTCCTGTAAACACTCTGATCACAAAATTGTGTAAGTTGCATATCACTTCATGTGAGAATTTTGCTCATAACATATTCAATGATCCCAGTCATCTACTCAATCCCATCTCAATCTCAATTTATCTGCTTACCGTTCCCACACTTCAACCCGATCCAATTTTCGGTGCTTTCCCTCTCGGATAAACATTTATCGTAACTCAGATGTTCCCTATCCGGCTCGTTTTCTCACTGACATCTTGAAGATCCGTTACGAGCTAATTTTAAACTTGCAAAGATGATCTACTATTTCAGTTTTATCAGTGTTGCATATTAATTTTCCCTTTGTAACGATGAACATATTTTCTAACTGAAATGTAAGCACAGTCGCCTACACAAGTCATTTATAATGTAATAATACAATACAGTACAAACTGAGAACTGATGGATTATGAGAAGAAAGGAAATGGGAAACATTTCAGGTTTGCAATTTTTAAAGAAACAGATGTCCCCCACTGAAAATGTTCTGACTTATCTTTATGGATATGATCAATGGGACCGGATGTGGTCAATCACATTCGTTGGTCTATTCATCCACAGAACACAGTCGTTTGTCACCTGTATACCGATGCAAACGATTTCACATCCGAACAAAAATCCCTCATTTTTTCTGACCCGTTCAAGCGTAACTCTTCGCATTGTTCCATCCAACATGCAGATCGTTAAGATGTTTGAGTATTTAGATTGGTTTCTGATGTGAGAGATTCTGTTAATCTTAAACCGGATTGAACATACAAATATCACACCAATAGAAAGCTAATGAGGATTGAACAAGTAGGTTTTATTTATTTTATGTTCCGACGGTTATTTTTGTTATATTTGTTATTTGTTATATTTTTTGTTATATTTCTTTTCTTTTTTCTTTCTTTTGTTGAATATACATATTTTTCGGTAAGCAACTTTCAACGGAGTTGGAAGCATTAGTACATGAAAACCAGGGAAAATGAAGCAACGGCGGTGAGATTCAAATATATGTCCTACCGGGCAACCAGTTGATAAGCTACACCACAGATTCTCATACTGATATTACGTGGAATAATGTTTCTGTTTTCTTTTATTTATGTAATTCAGTCACCGCCGATGACGGGGACACAGTTCACGGATTCGACTGGTTCACAGCAACCATGTTTCTCGCATTTCGTGGTGATGCTAACCTGGCTTGGGAATTTTTGGCTCAATTTGCATCTGATCGGCTGTCCATCTTTATTTGGCCCCAACGCGCTCAACGATTTGTAGGTTCACAATGCTATTCTACCATGCGTTCCTTCCGATTACATTTTTACTTTCCATCGGACAAATTTTCTATTAAAGCTTACGAATAAAAGGCAATTGTTTAATAAAAACAATTATTTCTCGAAATAATCTTGAGAAAAGAACAAAACATTGCAAGCAAGCACGACTTAATTCCCACGTAAGTGGCTCCACACCCACGTTGGAATTCATAGATTACATGCGATTTGGTGGACAGAGGAAGTGGTGATTTCACCAAAAGCTTCGGAATCTGGGTTGTGGTGAAGCAAACGACCGGATTTACAGCAAAATATATGCGGGCTAACGGTGCCACCAGTCGTCTTCGAACAAGTTGGCCTACGTCGTTACCTTTTAACGTCAGTTTAATAAGAACGTCACATTTTGGTGCTGTCATCCCCATAGCTCTTGGGTTCGGCTTTTACACTGTACATGTGCATAAACCTCACTGGGTCACCTTTAAGTCTTATGGTTTCCGTGAGACGAATTAGCTCACTCTCCCCATTATCCGAAGGACACAGACTCTTAGCTCAAACGGGGTGTGCACGAGACCTCGTTTATATTCCGAAGCCCTTAGTGAAATCACCACTCCATGTGTCCGCCAAAGCGCACGTAATCTATGAATTTCATTGTGGGTGCGGAGCCACTTACGTGGGTGGAACGGAGAGGCAGCTGTGTACCGCAGTGGCAGAACATATTGGCATGGGTTGAACTTGAAAGGATGAGATTGAGGGCTATACAAATAAACAGCCCATCAAACCGCACAGAACACCTGCATCATCCATTGCTCGCCTTCTGCTGCAGACTGGCCACGAAGCCGAACGCGGGTTGTTTACACAACCTCAAATGGACGGCTGCTGAGATTTGCAGAGTCCACATCAATCACGGGCCAAAACCCGCTGCTTTGTCAGCAAAAGGAGGTCCACATCATTCCGACATTGCCCTGGTAACCGAGTAAGCGGAATATACCATGTTGGATTACCAACACCTATGATATCTAAACTGTTTTGTATTCTATAATAAGCACCAGCTGAGATGCAGCGAAATGACTCCGGAATTAAATCGTGCTCGCTTGCAGCGATGTGTTCTGTGTACAATTATTTAGGCCCTATTAGACTAAGTTAAACCATCATTCTGTTTGTTATTTACCATTCTGCATGCATTATCTCTACCGCTTCAATTTGGACATTTTAAGAAAGAGGAGGTCTGAAACAACATGTTTCTCATCAAATCAACTCTGCAATAGATGTTTTGGTACATTTTAATATTTAAACGCAAATTCGTTTCTTACGGTGATTATATAGAGTAATAATCAGCCCATTGCACTGGACGATAATTGTACCGCCACAAATTGTAGTCAATCAAAGTCGGTGGCAAATGGTGACTCGCTAAATGCTTTCCATATAGGTATCAGAGAATAACATGCGATAAAACTTCTTCCCGGCAAACCTGAATGAGATGGTAATGGTTGGTGCTTGATTGAACGAGTAAAACCTCGAACAAAATAATGTTCGTTGTAGCTATTATGATAGCAATCTATCAATATCCGGATTAGGTGTGAAAAAGCGAAATGTTTGACCGAAGGTACAACCGTCTGTCGTGTCCGACGCAATAAGTAATGATTTTTCCTCACGATACCAACAGGTACTCACACTCTCAAACACAGCTAGGTGGTAGATACAGTGGGGGAAAGAATTAATTTTTCAGAACAAAACTTTTGAACACCATCTTTGCTATAGTCCGGTTCAACAACGCGCTTGACCCTGCTTGGCATCATACGGTTCACCATTCCAAGTCAGTTTGCATCACCGAACAGCACCAGGTCTTCCTGATTATGAGGTCCATTTCGTCTTCCGTGCATTGCACAATTGTATGCAATGAAGAAAATCCAGTTAATAATTAGTTTGATCTTTTAGCGTTTTCGAAGCTGACTTCAGTAAATGTAACAATTTCTATCAAATATCCCCCCTCCTGTAAATTGCCTGAAACGCATAAGTTATTTCAAATTTGACTTATGCAATTGACTGGAAAATTGGCTATAATACCCATTGAACGTCAACGTTTCATTGCGTTCGGAAAAAATATCCTGGTGAATGCCGATTATGAGGTAATCATTGATCTCACCCGGTGGACGCATCACGGATGAAGTGCCTGCTCACATACAGAAGGCTCGGTTGGCACTTGTCAATTTGAGGCATCTGTGGTGCCGTAGCGACATCCGGCTGTCTGTGAAGGGTCGAATATATACTGCAGCAGTTTGGTCAGTTCTAATATATGGAGCAGAAACTTGGCCATTAAAAAAGCAGGATAAAGATAGACTGTCGTTGTTTGAACATTGCTGTGTACGCAGTATTTCGCGAGTCTGTGGGGGCAGCCGAACGAGCAATGCTGAGGTTAGGTGCAGAGTTTTAGGTAACCTCGGTCGCCCGCTGGAGCAAGTGGTCAACCTCCATGTATTACGTTGGTTGAGACACGTGTTACGCATATCACCAAATAGGTTGCCATGGCGAGCGATGTTTGTCGAGGCAGGTAGTGGGTGGAGTAAAGCCCAGGGTGGTCAAGTTAAGATCTAGCACGAAGATATGAAAACCCTAGCCAGGAGTCTGCGTCACATAGGTCTTGTTGGGCCCCCTGACTGGGGACTTCGGGATGGTCGTACCTGATGGTTAGAGACACTGAGTGATATGACTGGGTGTCATAAACATTGGCGTTCTTGCATCTTCTCAATTTTTCTATATCATTAGTATACTGAAATTTTCAATTTTCTTTTCGATCCTAATTTCAACCTTTCCTATCTTTCTCCTAATGTGTATCCAAATGGGTAGCCGAAAGATAGCAACCAAAACCGGGGCACGATAGTGCCTGGTTAATGGTTATGCAAACTGAAACTGAAACTGAACTGAGAGTTTGTTTTACATAGACTTTACAACAATGTTCAATTAACACCTAGTTATTTCAATTAGGATTATGCGGACATAGTTTACACATCTGTCTTCATTTTACCTCACTAATACGGAAGAACCTTCATGCCCAGTTTCAAGGTTATTCAGTAAAAAGGTGCTTGGTTGCCCATGGAGCCATTTCGAGCACCACTCTCCCGTTTCATCAGAATTTTAAAATCCGCACCCACTGAGGTGATAGTCTGTTGTATCACTGCGCTGCTATCTTCAGGACCTTGGATCAAAATCGATACACCACTTATTCTACACAAATATTCACCTGGAAATAAATGGTAAAAATATCAACGATATCCTTATATAAGGTCCGATTTGTTAGGAGGTTCTTCATTGTAACTACTGGATAGCATACTCCTTTCGAAGCGGTCTGGTCCAATACTAACTAATGTTAGAGATTTAAAAAAAATTGACTTCTTGCCCACACCCGGGCAGGCATGTTTCATGAGAGTTTTGGAGATTTTGTTTTGAATATAGGCGGAATTCGTCCTATAAATGAAATGCGAGCCATAAAGCGATCTGATCAACTGCCCGGTGATCGTGTGGATAGTACGCTTGCGTTCGAGCTGTTACCTCCCGGGTTTTATCGTAGTTCGGGTCGATGAATTCGTACTGCCAAAACCTCTGTCCAGTGCTTCATAGGTTCCAGCTCACGCATCACAAATAATCAAACCAAATCCATCACTAGTCTCACACAGAATTAAATTGTCATGTCTGATCAGTTCCTCGTGCATCGGCTTCTTGACCCCAGGCTTCACCTGATGAACATTAGTAATTCTAAGCAAAACCTACTACAATAGCCCGCCTTCATGCTACCCGATATTCCCATATACATCTGTAAGTGGAGTGGGTGTGGTTGAAAGTGAAACGGTCTGAACGTGGATTGTGGCCCCGTAGCACGGGTGGCGTCCATCCCTGGGCTTTAGCTCCGTCGAGTCTCGTGCGCGCTTCATTATTGGATTACGCGAAAAACTCTTGAAATATACCAACCCATGAAGGTCGAAATATACGTATATCACAGGTATCGCTGAGGATGTTTTATGTCTATCCAGTTGCTGCAAAAAATTTCGTATTCCTGGTTTGTTGAAATTTGTACCCTGTTCCTTTTCCTCTGTGCAGTCTGCACATGCGAATGGGGATGACAGCACAAACAACTGGTCGCTACATTTGACCGGGCATTTTGTGGATCACATACTGGCACTCGAATGTCCAAACGTATACAACACATTCGTTCTGGCCGAACTACCACCGTCTCAGGTGCGCACATTTTCGTGGTATAAAACAGATTTAGCTCAGAGATGTATGTTGTTTTCTTTTGCCATCCAGATGACACATAGATTTTGACGAAACGCTTTGAAAGGATTGTATGAAATGCTAGTCTAGTCGGAATTTTGTATGAGTGAACTTCGCTTTCAGCTGATTGAAACCGTTTCAAACGCATTCACTTCAGAATTGGCCAATTAACATACAAACGGATACTACAACTTCCCCGCGAAGCACATATTTTGATAATTTATATGATTGTTTAGTGAATTTCTTGGTGCACAAAGACATTGGATTGCCAGGACTATCATTCTAACCGCACCTGCATCGCTTTTATTCCACAGACTTGTTTTGAGAGATTCAAATAATCTCAGCGATTTAGTCCTACGTTTTCACTTGTCTTGACAAATTGGAAAACTTGTCAAATTGATTCGTTTGTCAGTTATTTATTTTGCATTACACCTGGTTCCGATATGGATTTATTTTTGGCCCAGTCAATTTATGTGCCCTGCTGTGGGACAATTTGATTTGATTTGTCATAGGCTTGTTGGTTTTCAAAATGTTTTCCGATTTGTGAAGTTGTGTGGTCTTGGAAGATAGTCGAGTCGAGTGGACTCATGTTGGAATAGTGAAAAGATTCACAGCCATACTGGGATTGGAATCCACATGTGGACACCGCATCCGACCCCATAAAAGAGGTGCATTCTGTAAGCTGGGCTACAAGTCCACCGTCAACAAACCAGATGTTTGCACATTTAACTAGCCTGTCAGTCATGCAATCATGTATGGACTGCATCAATTAGGATGCGAACTGTTTGAATTAGAAAATTCTCTTTCGCATCGACCAAAACCCGGTAGATGAATTTTTCGTCTTGAAAATTATGCTGCTTTGACGTATACTGTCATTCGTGTTTCGACAAGATTTATTGATATAAAGATGACTTTATCGATCAGTTTAGAATATTGTGTTTGATATCAGAGGCACTCGGCACTGTATCTATTCTATTCGTTTCTGGTATAGATTTATGGTCTGAGAATTACGCTTATTTGCAGTAGAGTGAATTCATTTGTATAACAGTTGCATTTTATTTGTACTGATGTACAACATATTCGATAGAGGTTTAACCCTTGTTGGATGTTATCAGCAGTCCGGACGGGGAGTAGAAACCCTCATCCCTGAGTCAAGCGTTTGATCGTCATACGCAAATTTCCATGGAAAATGATATCACTCATTTATCTATGATTATTTTTGCTGTTTCAATTATCGATTTGTGAATAAATCCCAAGCAGATCACTAGTCACCTAAAATAGTTTCAGCCGGTCGTTTCTGCGTTGTTGTTCCGAGGTCGCTGGAACTTCCTTCATTTGCACGATTTATATTCCATAAAATTGTGTTTTATCTGCGTGAGTGCGGAATTGTGACTGACAAACTTGACACATTTTAGCCACCAAAAACATTACAATGTAACTAGTCACAGCAGATTTATAGCTGCTTCATGAAGGTTCTTAAAGAAGGCTGGAAAACAGTCTCAAAAGTAGTTCGTGTTTTAGAGGTTTTTCTGGGTTCTGTAAGGGTCATTGGAATGTGGCCCCAATCAACCATGATTGTACTTTGTAAACTTAGCAGTTATAAATCTGTTTTATAAGCGATTGTCTTACTCTCATTCATCCTGTTATGAAATATTTTGCCTAATTGAGAAAGTCTGCCCGATGTATCTTTATCGAAAATCCTCACTTGTGACTCATCTTCGAAATCCCCATTACCTTAGCTTACACTTTCAATTTTCCAAAGAGATGTCTTGCCTGTTTATCAAATTCCATCACTAATTATAAGCAACCCACTAAGGTACATGGGAATACTTCCAATGTTGGATCAATAACTCAGACGTTCACAACGTGCTTCGCTCTTGTTTCACATCTTTATATTCTACCCGTGCAATATGCAGTTAATGTGGCACAATGTCAGGGCAATTTCAGTCCTTCATAGTTCCGTAAAATCTTAGATATCAATAAG